TTAAAGTAATCAACGCAAAGTCTAAAGCTTGGAGTATTCAATGCAAAGGAGTAAGTACATACTCTTTTCTAGTAGTGCACGTATAACGAATAACAGACAAACAGGAGAGCCACACTGTATTCCAGATGGAAGCAATTAAAGTTCAGCAAATATAAATAATTATATTCAACAAATATAATAACATCACTTTAATATTAAATCCTCTATTGAGAACAATTTGAAATATACAAAAACAGTTTAAGGACTAGTAAACTTCTTCAAGCATATCAAATTACACAGTTCATTATGAATTTAACCAAACATATTATTATCAGCATTTATTACTCATATCAAGATGACGGATGTTTATGCATTTATAGCTTCCCTTAATTTGGAAAATCCAATAAAGTTAACATTTTAATGAAGTTTAATACTACAGTGTTATTACTAGATTGCGGATTTTATGCATTTCTAGCATACTCAGGTGTCTATAATTCAGTACAACAAAAAGTTTAATAAAATGCAATAAGAGTTTTGTTTTAGTTCAAGCCTAAAAGAATCCTTAATAGATCACAGAAAATTTCAACTTGATTCTAGTTTCTGTAAACTTATCCGGAAAGTCTATATTTGCATAAACATTCGCAGTCTAGTTATTCCTAACGTAATAAAGCCTTTAATAAAAAAATTGGAAATTGTGCCCCATTTTAATTTGTAGATACGTGTCTGAAATTGATAATTTGCATAAACTTCCGTAGTCAACTCATAATCCAAACAATTGGATAGTGCGACTATAAAAAATAATTGATAAAAAAAAATGTTCAGTTAAATTTTAATATGAAAAATATTAATCTGCATTAGTGATTTGTTATTTCTCGGAGAATTTCTTCCGTTCCAGTTTTAGCACGACTACCTTGTACGTAACACTTGTCCGACAAGAGAATTGGGACGTCGGAAATATGTGACGCGTGGTAGCGACTATGTTGAGGTTGAACAATGTCGATCTCGCAGGCTGCAAGTGAAAGATGCTTACAGGCAAAAACAACGAAAGTGAACGCCCTCGTTACAGTAGCGCGAACGTCCACGTTAATATCCGAGTATCTCGTACGTAATACAGCGTTGCGTAAAATGATACACATAAGTCTAATGCCCCGATCGATGACCGAACACAGTGAACTCTACCGTGGAATCTACTCGATTGTAACGAAAAACGTCACCCGCTCCGCCCGACCTGTTTATCATTCCATGAATACAAATTCCGGAGACGCTGTCGTTTCTTACTTTCACTGCAACTACTGCACTCGGATATTCCACGTGATAAATGCATTTCGATCACGATCGTTCGCGGATCGTTCCGGGATTTTAAATCGTAAATTGTGCTTCGACTCAAATATACGATTCTTGACATTGAAATCTTCGACAAACGTCCAGTTTTAATCTAATTTATTTTTCTTTTCGGTACTTTTGCATTATATGTAATATTTCACAACGATTTGCAAGATATATAGTACTGAAAATATTTATGGCAGAACTCTCAAATTTACGTAGTACGTGACTTTCTTAGCAATGTGATTGATAAGATGATTTCTATCTAATTTAGTAAGGCCAAGATAGTGAGCTATGTAGTTCTGCAGTAAATATATGTTCTATTTAATGTTCCTAAAGCTAATAACACTGTTCAACAAATTTGAATTTTTTTTCGGTACTGTAACCTCTAATAAACGTTTCTGATAGACCTTTATAAGCTGAATACGAATCTGTAAACCGTTTTTTTCCAGCACGTCCAGTTTTTGAAAAAATCACTTTTTTTTTTAATTTCAAATTTTCAACTTTAGAACTGTGTTGTGTTTTTATAGTAATAATTATGCAATTTCTCTTGACAGGAAATAATTCCACGAACTTTTCTGAACAAAATGATCTAAATTATTATTATATTATAGACATCTAAATATGTTTAAATAATATTTAAAGTGATTTTGAAACTATTCTTTAATTTATTTCAAAAACTAATGACAGACCTTTCTGCTCAGGAAAGTGTCAAGGAAAGTTATAAAATCTGTTTTGTTTTAAATAGGAAAGCGAAATAGTTCAGCAAAACACGCGGCGCCGACAGTGGTGGCCGTGCGCGCCTAGCGCTTCCCTTACGCTGAGCGGCAGGCAAGGCGACCGTCTTCATTGAGTACCACTGTCGCCGTCGTGTGTTTTGCTGAACTATTTCGCTTCCCTATTTAAAAGAAAACAGATTTTGTAACTTTCCTTGACATTTTCCTGAGCAGAAAGGTCTGCTCTATCGCATGCTATGGTTAGATTTTCTCCTAGACCTTTAGTTTTTGAAATAAATTAAAGAATATCAGCGAAAAGTATTGCGTTTCGGTGTCCTTTTCACTTTAGAAATTTCTTTAGTATTTCCTTATATGAAGACGCAGAAATATGAAAGATGTTATGTAACAGAAAAGTATAGTATAAAAAGATAGTTCTAAACGTGAAAGCTATTTCTACAGAAATTGATTCTCACGAATCGAGCGCTTGGGTTGCAAGATCGCCAAAGGAGTGTGTATTTCACTCGGTTGAGCCTTATAATGCCCTTAATACTATCACTATAAATGTCAAGAAGTTCTCTTCTATGATCAAGAAGGTTCTCGTTTAACCGGCCATTTGTATAATTATAACAGTAACACTTCTTGCAAAGTCAATTGCACAAGAATAAAACATAAACCTACAAATAGGTGGATCAATCAGAATTTCTTTCAGACACATCTTTTTCGTTTTACTGAATAAATATAAATATAACCTTCTATTGAATATTTATAAATTATTTGTTGTAAGTACTACCAACGCTGTGTACCAAGAGAGTTACCGTCCTCGTTTTTTGTTAATTATACGTTTTCGTTAATATAAAAGTCACAAGTTGTTTTTCTAATTTTCTTTGCTATAATCTTAAAACTTAAGTTTACGGAAAGCACCAGAAAAGTTTTCTTAATCTCGAATATGCTGAACCTGAGTAGAGAAAGAATTGTCTACTATTGAATTACTAACTAAAATATTGACTCAGAAGGATAAATATGTATTTAAATACTAGATACCTTTAACTTTTATGAATATATTTACATTTGTCATAATTACTCTATTTTCCTGTTCTTTCGTTTCTGTAATTATTATAACATTACTGGTAATAATGAACATCGAAATCAGTTTTTAAGTTTAAGACGGTGTATACAGCCCCATAAAGAATACTTTAAAAACGTGTAGTAAGTTTGATAAACATACCACCCACTATTTAAATTATTTCTCACAAATTTCTTAGTTACCCTCGCATATTAAACAATTTTAAAATAATTCATGGACTTCCTCGAGTTATGCTTATAACAAAATTATTCTAAAAAAGTAATTAACGTGAAAAACTTTGTCAAAAATCATTTTCACTTCTGAAATATTAACTTCATGTTATAGGAGTTATTCATACTGAATACATGTGCACGACAATTTTGAAGGTAAAGTGCACTTCAGTTGACGTGATATGAATACGAGCAATAAACAACTCATCTTATACGAAATATTATGCACAGTGTCCTTGAAAAAAAAAATATTTATCTTCAAGAAGATCACCTTGTAGAATCCCGTTTCTGAAAAACATCAGTGCAACACGCACATTTATAGTCAAGGGCTTTCCCTTGACTGCAACCGCAGTTGTTATTGCATGCTCGACAGTTCCCAGATCGGATTTTCGACTACAATATTGCCGATGTACGAACAAAGTCTTGTGTTAACAATTGAACATGTATATTAACATTTTACAGAAAAATATTCTGAAGATTTATGTCACACAAGTCGCCAAGATAAATGCTGCTCCACTGAATTATACTCGACTACTAAATTCATTTCATATTTATGCACACTTCAATCCAAGAATATGGTATGCCTGCAATTTTACTTCGAGAAGAGAACATAAAAACTTAAAACTGTTTCACGTAAATCAATTTAATAATTTAATTGTTCAGTATTTTCAGACACGGATGAATACAGAAACCAATTTGTGATTCAGCGAGGCTTCAAAGGAAGGAAAAAATGTTACTAAGTTCATATTAGAACCATCTGTCTTTTGCAAAGAGATTTATAACTTTGACTGGTTACTGGCTATTGTACTATTTTCATAATATCTATATTTGTATCATTTCCACATGTCTGAACTAAATACACCAATAAACTGAAGTCGGTAGTAAGTAATTTTTTGTATCAGAAATTTAAAACTCAAGCATTGAGTGGTTTAACACCAGAATTACCGCCGATGAACGTACATTTATTTCTATCGTATTACTTAACACGACGAATTATCGAAAATTAACTCTCATTGAGAGTTCCGTTGTGCTGAAATAAAAAATAAAAGAAAAACCATTCAAAATATACAAACTTATTAATCATCTCATTTCTAGACTTATATATTGCAATGCATATTGTAAAAGGTCTGAGAAAATGCATTGTTGTAACATTTTAGTCATCATTATAAAATGATCATTATATTCTAACCAGTCATTTCGACTGCTTTGGTAGTTCCAGTGTTAAACATCATTACACGTCGGTAACAATATACTTAAATCCGTCTGAATAACGAAAGTTACACCGACCTGTACATATTTACATGTTATTCAACAGAGTCCAGACAGTTTCGCAAAGATATCTGCCAGTAATTATTCGAAACTGAGCAAAGGACGTGTACAGTGGTTTTTTTCGACGCTCCAACGGATACGCGGTTTTTTCCTGTCCACCATGTTTATGCAACCCCGACATCTTACCGAAAACCGGAGACACGTCACGCTCGACGGTGAATGAAAATTGGCGCGTTGGAAATTTTCAAAGTCGTCGTTCGGTACGGTGAACTCGCGTACTTAGATCGCCGCGAGGTTGAGGCGGTGGTCGGGCCCATGGGCGGGCCCAGCCGCTCCCGATGGGGACCTATATAAGTTGACTCGCGGCCGGTGTAACGCGATCCTATAATACAATCGCGTTTGCCTCATCAGCAACCAGACATGCGTCTTCCCGTGAGTACTCCTCGATTTTCCTCTTTCGCCGATAGTGTCGCGTCGACGGGTCCTGGGGGAGACTCAATTCGTTATTGGGTCCATTCATAAATAAATAGACTGTGAATTTTTATGTATTAATTTTACAAAATAATTCGTAAATGCAAGAGAAAGTTTCTTTCTTCTCTTAAGTACCGCGTTGGGTTCAGAATAATAAAAAAACTCGTTATATCTGATGAAAGTTTTGTTTTTGGTTGTATTTCACAGAGCCCTATAGGCTACAAATGCATGGGATCCGCAGTTTATTCGTCAAGTATTTTATTGTGAAAAGTTTTGACGCGTTCAAGACATGAAGTTCATCCTTTTAGACTGCAAAATGATCATTAGTGAATTTAGCATTTCAATTGTCTTTGAGATGAACTTTGTTATGACATGCGAGAATTTTTAGTGGACATCCAATTCAAAGAACAATTACATTAACGTATTGCCATTCGTGATTGAGTGGGGTACAAAAAGTTCTTTTATTTTGGGAAATATTTTTTGTTGGAAGCAGTGATTGTTTTATGTATTGTGTATTTTAATTAGTGAATTGTTACACAGAAGGTTTACACATCCAAGAAATACGTTTAAGTAAATACTGCGTGTGAAAATAGTGCTTTGGGAAAAGTAAAATTTTAGGAATTTTTGGGAATAAGTATATTCCATAGACTACTGAATGCGTCGCAGAATATGAATTAAGTAATTCCTATGAAAAGAACAGTGCGGAAACAATTTTAAAATAGGTACTAATAAAGATTTCAATAAGATTTCAATGATTTATGAAATGATCTAATACACTGAAATTACCAGTAATTAACTAGTAAATCGATCAAATAATACATCCTAATTAACCACGAATAATACATTTGTTTCTTCTAATAGAGATTCATAGATCATATAATAAATTGAACAGGTTAATTGAGTTTTCAATGGTCACATTTAGTATTTAATAATAATCGTTTTCATTTGTTATAGATGTTTATTATTTGTGTATAGTAATATTTCAATATTGAAAGGGCAAACACATTAATCATTACATATATCGTATTCACATACTCTGAGTTTATATGTCTAGATGCGTTATCGACAATGTGAATAAGTCAACGAACACGCAGTGTTATGCAGTCGAAATCAGTGCCGGTGATTTCAATGCAAGACAGACGGTATTGCTCAGTGATACGGAGACATTTCTTGCGGTTGAATAGAAGTGGCCTTTGAATTTTTTCCAACTGTTCAGATAATCCAAATCAATGCCTTCTTTTTATGATCATTTAATCATTCTGGAACAACGTTTACCGTACCGAAGGAATTGTTTCAATGATTATGGTCAACGTAGTGCGTGTTGCTTGTATAAATGGCCTCTGATTATACAATTAAAAAATCTACTAAAACCTTCACTAACAAATCAATGTCCAAGTGATAATAATAATTTAAATGATGATTAAGTAGGTTAACTATTTCAAAAACTATTAAACTCGTAATAATAATTATTCGCCACGATGTAATTTTGTACTATCTTTGGAAGTGTTTTGACAAGTAACAATTTATATATTCACGTAACGTATAAACATAGTATTATATGTATAGGTATAAAAATAACATATATTATATATTACATACCATATGATTTACTATTTCTTTTCATAATAATAGAAATACAGTTTAAATTAAATATATATTTTCGCATTTGTGCGTGATAAATATACTGTAAGATGCTGAAGATCAATGACAAATATAACTGAACGATTAGTTTCTTCTAATTTTCTTGGAAATTTACATTGAATTTGGTAAAACATAGTAAATTGCTATTGGTACACCTAATGTTTCAAATTGCTGTAATAATACATATTACACTAAACATCAACTGTTATATTTGACGTAATAAAGAATTCTAAAGTTTTTTAGGTATCTTACATTGTGTGGCTCACTATTCTTGGCAAAAATTTATTCTTTCCTTCTGTCAATCCGGTCACGTTTCTCTATTGTAAAAACCGGATATCTCTTAACGTAGAAGTGAATTTCAAACGCGCAATCTTAGCTGTCTACTATTTTCCATTGCGTACGAGGTTATTGGAAAGTGATTCGAGTTGCCAACTATTTTATGCAAACTTCTGTCACCAGGTACTGTCTCTCTTGTTTTGCGGTGGCCTTGCGTTCGCCCAACACAATCGGTACCCAGTGACCACACCGGTGCCCATTTTGAAGCAAATAAACAAGTAAGTACCGTTTTACTCTCACGCCGCGCCACTTCACGAACAGAATAATGTAACCCCTTTTCGTTGATTCTTCTTGCGGTCTACACAAAAATATATAATTTCATTTTGACATTAATAAAAATGTGTGTAACGAATTTCAGGAATCCAATTATCCTATGTTAATAAGATTTTTATTTATTTTACAGTTTCTTAATAGAAAAATGTGTACACTGGGTGTAACGAATTTTGGGAATCCAATTATCCTATGTTAATAAGATTTTATTTATTTTAGAGTTTCTTAATAGAAAAATGTTAAATTCTGAATAATTGTTTTTGTAATTTTAAAGAGCACGCGAATTCATCGATTTTTTTTCTCCATTTTCCGAAGAACGAAGCATCGAATAGAACAACTTCAGTTTGCGTTCTCGAAGTGTTTTTGCACTAAGAATCAGCTCGTAACTATTTTTACTATCAATATTGTACTATCATTGGTGACAGAGATGGGCAAAATTTTATCTGAATAAAGTCGAATAAAAGATCCTTTACTTTTATCCGTTATTTGAAACTTCGAATAACTCGATTTATCTTTATTTGAAATACTACGGATAAATAAATTTCTCGAAGTGTATTTATTCGAAAGTGGAAGATAATTTTTTTATTGGAAGAAAATTCCATGGTGTTTCGAATAAAGATAAATCGAGTTATTCGAAGTTTTAAATAACGGACAAAGATAAATTGTCTTTTATTTGAATCGTTATTTAAATAACTTTTTATCTAGACAATGCCCATCTCGGATTTGTAACACACCTAAATGTGATGAAGTAACAAGATGGAAAGATTAATGAAGGTTAATTAGGTTTTAATTTCTGGTGCAATGAAATTTTCACACTAGAATTTGCAACTCAACTTAATTTTTATTTTTCTAAGTTAGACACTCTAAACGTATGTTAAACTATTCATATCTGAATATGTAGTTTCCTGTAGATTGGCTAAATTTTATGAAATACGAAGACATATTTCTTATAGCACGATTATCATCAAAGGGGAAATTGTGAAAATTAGTTGGCCGTATAAGTGTTACCGCTACGTGGTGTAATTTATGCAGATAAACCGTTAAGCAATAGACGACTGCGAAAACCGCATTTAACCCTCAAAGTAGGCGTAGCGTCGAACTCTTTCGTAAACAGATTTGTTTGTCCGCAATATCAAGGCCAAATACATACTTTTCTACGATTCTGCAATAGAAAGACAAGTATTCCAATCGTTTGCTTTCTCGGGTTTTTATAATTTCTCTGTCAGCATTCGCGTGTGGCGTAAGATATGATATAAAGCATCGATAGGAATGTAGTATGTACAATCATTTTCTGACATAATTTCAGTGAAAACATAAATGTAAGGTAATTTACTGAATCATTTAATACCTTAAATATGTGTACTTGCATGTACTTCCGTGTTACAAGATTTCGATACACTATTTTCTGTACTTTACATTTCTTTTCAGCTTATATAAATTGAGCACTATTTGAAACAAATAAGAACAAATATTCCCATTCTCTTGCTTTGATAGAGATTAAGATTATCGATTATCTAAAAAGTGTAAAGCATTACGAGAGCTATGATATGGATCCTTATGTAAGCACTGCTTATGTAGTTTTAGTAAAAACTATAATAAATGTAGTCCCACATAAAAAAATACACTATTCATTATTAATCATCATTTTTCAATCAACTAAAAATGTTTCGAGAATGCAACTATTCGTAAAGAATCTAAATCCGAATATTTCTTGCTATTTGCAAATATTAAGTCGTTGTGGAACTTTATATTTTAATCGATTTCGAAGAATAATATTTATTAAGGTATGATCTTTTATGTTTCACAGTGAAATACAGATACATGTGCTCACATAATTATTATTAAAAACCTGAGGTCTGGAAAGTAAATTAGAAAATTTTGGAACTAATTTTTAGCAAATATTACTAAGTTTACTCGTTTTGTACAATATCCTTTTAGTTAAAAAATAATCTGTACCAAAACCGTAAAGTAGCGTTTTATGGAGTTTATCTTTGAGTCTGACACAATATTTTCAAGTTCAAATACATAGAAAGATTTTAACTGAACTTCATCTAAATCCATCGACTGTTTTAATTTACTCATAAATACTTTCAAGTAGTTACACGTGTAAAACAATAGTGCCAGGTAAAGAATATAAACAACGCTTTAACTTAATATGCAAAAGATAACTACTATTATTAATTTCTAAAAACTTTTCGAAAAACTGTAACCAAATGCCAAATCTTCCAATTAATAAAAGTGATATTTCGTATGGAAGGACCAAATATTCCAGTTGTACAAAATTATTCACTACTAGACCACCGATTTAATGGATTCATAGCCTTATGAAATATAATAAAGGAAAAAACTTTCATCAACGGCAACGAGCTTTCTATTTCATTCTGATCTCAATAAGATACTCAAGAGAAGAAAAAAATTCCAACATTTCATCCTGTCTTTAGAAACATCTTTATAAAATCTCACTTTGCATAAAAATCCGTAATAATAAAACATTGTCTAACATTAAATGCATTTGTGTATAATTTTTAGACTGGAAATCTTTATGAAAATTCAGATTTTTATAGATTACTTTTCGACACTGAAAGTGTGTTAGAGATTTGTTTCTCTTATTAATGGTTTTTGGAGTCCAAGGTAGAATAAACTTAATACCAATTGTCACGAAACATTTTACTGTATTGTCTTTTGCACACTCGCATTTGCGATAAATGCATAAAATCCGCCGTCTAATGATAAAAAATCAAAAAAGTATTATACAATAATTTTTTTCAAGTGAAATTTAAGTTCCATTAAAGCTTAACTAATGAATTTCTGAACTAGGCACAATGAAGACGGCAGCTATAGTTACGGTTACGAAGCAGCGGACGGTTCCTACAAGATCGAATCGAAATATCCGACTGGCGAGGTCTATGGGAAATACGGCTTCGTCGACGATACGGGGAGTGTCCGTGAGGTCGAATACGGGGCATCCAGACGCGGCTTCGAACCAGCTGGAGCTGGAATAAACGTGCCCCCGCCAACTTTGACCGGAAACAGTATCGCTAACCCCAATGAACCCGACGACGACGGACAATACAGAGAGGATCCATCCGTTTATTACACTGATCCTCGATTCACTAACGGAGAACGTTACGACCCGGTTCCTCGTCAGCCTTTGGCGCACAATCAACAACGACCAGTTCCAGCGCCGATTTACAATCCCCCCAGGTTAGTTGTAAATTACTATGTAAAATACTATCGCAATGATGGTACTGTCATTGAACATACGGTGATCCCTAGTACAAAAGCAGATTGAGATCATGCAATAATTGTCGAGAAAAATGTGTTTGAAAATCATTGACCGTTAGCCTACACACTATAAGTGATAAGTAAACGTGTCTGTACAGTTAATAACACGTGGACCGAAGGAATATGCTGTGTTTCTTGAGAGAGAAACTGTGAGGGAAAGATCTATATTATACACTGGGCGTCAAAATTAAGGGACCACTAAAATTTGCCTAAAATATGGGTCATTTTCAAATGACTGTATCTCCGCGAAAAATAGTTATAAAAAATATTGTATACGACCATTTTGTAGCCAGAAGTTTCTAGTTTATGAATCGGGAATTCAAAAATTATTTTCATGTAGTTTGTCCCTTTTTTTTTAAAGATGAAGCGCAGCAAGCGAATGTTAAAAATGCCGCTTGCTGCGCTTCATCATAAAAAAAAAGGGACAAACTACATGAAAATAATTTTTGAATTCCCGATTCATAAACTAGAAACTTCTGGCTACAAAATGGTCGTATACAATATTTTTTATAACTATTTTTCGCGGAGATACAGTCATTTGAAAATGACCCATATTTTAGGCAAATTTTAGTGGTCCCTTAATTTTGACGCCCAGTGTATATTCTTGCACTAGGAAACGTGTTCTGTTGCAGATAGATACTCATTGTAACAGCATCAACCATTAGTATTCCCATATTTTGCTTACAATTTATTAGTCATTACATATCTTTAACAGTAGAACTACCAGCATTGAATGTATACTACATTAAATTGTATAATACAATAATATACAGAATATATCAGACAATCTAGCATAATATACCATAAAATAATATCTGTAGTAAATTAAAATCCAACATAAATTCCGTCAGAAGCACCATTATAATTTCAGTAATGATAAAATAGTAAATCTGTAATCTGTCATTTTGACGGGTTTGGTAGTTCTAGTGATAATACACAAGCCTAGGGGATAACTTCAATGACGTTTCCTTTTTTGTTATAACGTATTGTTTAGAAAGAGTTTCCTATTTGTTCAGCATAAATATATATTTTTATTTCGTAGAGCTATCTGAATATTCTTATGCTTAATATTATGTATTATTGAATAACACTTAACTAAAGTGTCTGTTTTTTATTATATTTACTGTTTCTATGACGGCCCGTATGCAAAAGTATTTGATAATAATTATCAAAGACACATTTCTTAAAAGTAAGCTTCCTGTAAAAGAAATCCTTCTACCCTTTAATTACTTCATTTTTAATCCAATTTTGGTGTATTCGTATTCAAGAATTGTTTTCCAGTCTAAAAATCAATGCAGTCGCAATCTATATGTATACCGAGTATATTATTTACCATCTAAACTAGAAAAAGCTATGTGAAAGGATAGTTTTACCAGTATACACTCCTTTCGGAAAATAAATTAGCGCTCCCTCTAAACTGTTTGAATATAGAAAAAATGAGGAAAGTCATATTGCTATGAGACCAGACGTTCTTGTGTTTTTTTGTCATTTATTAAAAATTTATTTGCACCTTTTGCATTTATTGTAACAGCATATATATAAATACGATTGATCGTTAATTTACTTTCAGTGGCGACTGTACATATTGTAACTCAACAGAATAAATGGAAAAGACCTACACACTATGTCTGGTTTAAATGTATACAGGCTACTATTTTTCTAACTATTGAAAATCTTTTTTTTAATTGTCAATCACATAGATTTTATTAACAATATAATTTCTTTTAAGTGAAGCTATATATTTCTTTACTTCCATGTTTTTAAGAATTTCAAAGCGAATTCAACGTTGACACTTCTGTTAAAAGAATAATTTCCCCGATAACTGTGTAAACATTCCTAGCAAATATAAAGTACGCTCAGCATTTTTTACCCATACCATGTGATCCACGTGACAAGAAACAATGAAATTGCCACTAATATTCATACAGTTATCAAAGAAATTATTGTTCAAACAGAACTTTCAAATATGAACATAAATTAAAACTTTTAACATCACTATTCATAATATCTTAAAATAAAAAAATAATACATACTGTACATTAATGTAACAACTTGCTCCCTTAAATATTTCGTATATAGTCAAATTAAATTCAACACCCAGTACAGAAATGCTCGTTCAAAACTCTATCCTTCAAAATCGCCATGCCTCCGTTTCGCAAATCGCCGCAGACATTGTTAAGGGGACTGTCTCGACATCAAATACACGAGTTTACAATGAACCGCGTAAATGTCAAGTGAATCTCACTCGAAAGTGCAGGGGAACGTGACTTGCTCAATTCTCCGGCTACTCTTTAACTCGCGAGGGGATAAACAGCGAAATTAACAGACAGAATCCGTTTCTCTGTGTTCTAGGTATCCCCCTCAAGTGCAGTATCAGTCGAAGCCGCAATACCAACCGGAATATCGACCGCAATACCGATCGCAATATCAACAACCACAATACGCGAGCCAGCAACAGCGATCTGCATATCCAGCCGCTCCGATACAAAGCGGTCTTCAAGGTCGTCCAGCATCCAATGTTGATCCCAATGCCGGGTTAGCCTCTTACACGGTTAATTACAGGCGATAAATATCACACGAACGCGTCATCCCGTGTAAATACCTCGTTTGTTTAGGCCGATTTCCGGCAGACGTTACACACACTTTAGTTAGGGCCAATTTCTTCTGATTCGCTTGAATCTTCAGACTATTGCAAAAAAAGATGTTCAAGTTAATCTTCCGTGGTTGATGGAGGTGGCTTACTCAGTTTTCAAAATCGTTAGAAAATAAGAACGACTTTCTTAACAACATTTTCGAAAAACAGCTATTCTACTTTATTATCTCATGAAATTGATTGAATTCTACAGATGTTTCATAAAGTAACTTAATTTTGTATTGTTGTTTGTATTACATACTTCATTTTTTGTGGTTAGCAATGAACAATTGAAGGGCACAGTGGAAAAATGGTACAAGTGCATTTTTTTCTTAAAACGAGATAAGTACACGAAACAATATTTAATGTTTGTCTTTATTTCCAAGAAAAATGGTATGAACAATGGTAATGTGTTTTACTGCGTTCAAAGCATACAAACATTTCTTTTAAAGTTTAATTTTACCAACAGATGTCTCAAATTAAAGGTTTTGTCACTTGTACCACTTTTCCTTTGAGCCCCTCTATTGTAACTAAACAGAACATTTTTCTGATTTCAAAGTGAAAATTTGAGGGATTATTTGAAAATATTTGCTTTAAATATAAAAAAGACTTCTCACAAGCAAATACACATAACTACGAATCAATGGAAGCAAATAAAATTAATTTTTAATAATTGAAGAATTTTACATAGAAACTGTGGATATATCTTTTAATAAGAATCTTTTTCCTGCAACTCACGAGAAATGAAGTATTTTATGATTATTTCACATAAATTGCAATTGTTGAATCAACCTTACCTTCTTCAAATATTAAATCTCTTCTGCAGAATTCTTTACTGATGCTAAATAGTCTGAGGATTTCTAGTTACACCTACAAACTGCCCACGAGTTACCCTAACCATTCATAAACTCTTAATACCTCAACTGATGTGAGTCAACGAACGTCAATCTTGTGTTATCACCATCAAATACACAAACATATAACATTTAACGTTAAAACGCCACTGCATAATCTTTCATGTCAAAGCCTTGGCATCCTACGTTTCGCATGATCTTCATATCTTTATTTAATGGTACGTGTTCATGATTCTTATCCTGCACTTGTTGAACCTTAAAAGTAGTTCCTCCATAAAACTCTACCTCTTCTTCACCATTCTACCTGTTTTTCTACCTCTTAATGCTTTCATAACTCACTCGTTTATGTTTCGTATTACTACAGGCATTCTTCCAGTATTTCTCAGACTTTACGCAGAAGATGTTGCATCTTAAATTACCTTCCTCACCTTTATTATTTTATGGTAAAAAGCTATCCATGCTTAACGTGTTCCGTGCCCAGTGGGTCATTGGTGACCCACAACAAATTTTCTGTTTCGGTTAATTTAAACAAAATACATTGTAATATCGATTAATTCTAATTTCTCAGTAAAAATATTCACTTTGCTGTATAGCGCTAACACTATGCACCATATTTCTTCTTTTATAAAATAGACAGTTGCGTTTGCACCATACAGTGTACATTATAAATGTTTATAATTTTGCGTGAACAAACGACACTCACTAAAACACCCGTCGACGACACGTGTTAACTTTTCGCAAATGAAAATGTTTCATACAATTGTTATCAGTAATAGATATTCTTTTTTTTCGGCACTGTATTATTATATAATGTTAAAACGATCGGGTATACTTTGAAAAGGTATAGTACTTATCAAGCTGAGTAAAAAATGTTTAGTAAGTTTGAGTGGAAAAATGTATTATATCAAAGATGTTTATTTTATCAAAATGGAATATAACAATACGAATTTTTCCGAATATCTTTACTAAGCATTTTTTACTCTAATTAGTTTAAAAAGCACTACGTGCTCGTAAAGTAAGTAACTTCCAAGTATATCCGAGCACTTATTTACTTTTGACAGAATGTAATTTAATTGATAGACCTGCGATGATTTTCTCATGTATTATCGTTATAGCCACGCATAGTAGTATACTTCTACAAATTTTTCATCTAATATATAATAACAAAGTGTCAGTATGAACGAAACCTAATAAAACTGTTTTATTGTTTGAAAAGTTCTTTATCTTCAGGTTGAAATGATTTTTCTAAGCGTGGAAGCATACTAATGCAGACACAATTAAACGACTAATAGGAACACTACGAGAATTAGTTAAAATTCAATTACATTTAAATTCAAGATTAATTTCAATACTGGTACCTATTTAACGAAATCTCGTGTGTAACTGTTTATTCGTTAAGACGTTAATAGTGGCTTCTCTTAGACACTAATTTACATATTTTCGTCTCAGAAATCTACCACGTGTCCACATACTTATGTATGTATACACTTCCACTCATAAGTTTCTACCCACCTACATTAGATATATTTGACTAAAAAACTATGTCAAATTTGCCAAAAGGACTAATTTTCTTCACAATATAGGTCATAGAGTAGACAAAATGCGCAATCTGTAGTTGTCAAATAACCATAAAACATATTCTTTTAAACTGCTTTAAGTATACCAAGGCTCGTTCTAAATTTCAAATTAAAGAAACTCTGAATGAAAATCTCAGTGATCATCAGCAAACATCAAGACTATTCTCCTTCATAAGAAACTCAACGTTTTACAAAATCTAGTTCCCCATATTATATTCATTCCATAGTGTCGTGGTTAACCTCATCTCTGTGTACAGGGGTGCAAAGACACATCAGGCTAATAAAAACGTAATTTATAAAATTCCGAATGGAAAATTTCCGAAGTGTTCTCGGGCATGCTATCTGTGATATGTTCTTTCTTGAAATTTTGGACTGAAAATGCATCGGGTGTAATTACACCCCTGTAGACTGTTAACGTTAATATATTTGTACACAGAAAGAAAGCTAATAATCATGTATATGCAGTTGATGCAAAGCTAAAATTCTAAAAAAAACTCAACCATTTATTGAAAGTTCCCAATGTAAAATGAGAAAGAGTAAAGCGTTCTGTACTTAGACAGCAAATATTAGAGGTTCCAATAAGTACTCCACTATTTTGGGTGAAGCTTTGTATTCGCTTTGAAATAATTTACGTACCTACCCTATTATAACAATATTTCTTATTGGTTCCCATCATCCTCCGCTATTTTGATGAAACTTAAGGTTGCAAAGATATTCTGAACCTAAAATGTATTTCCACCATATTGAAACTACGGTCAAATCCTCAATGAGTGTTCGATGGCTCCTCGGCACTGAACATTAAATATTTCATAAACTAATGACCATATGCAACTAAGAGAAATATCATTCTCTTCAGAATTCCAAGCTCTATCACTTTACTAAACTTGATTAAAAAGTCAGCGTTACACCTGGGGATCTCCTCTTGTCAATGCCGAGGAGTCTTCCAACACTCATGAAGGATTAACTGTATACTGAGTTACTTATCAGTATACCTAATACTTATGAGCGATAGAGAAACGTCATATCGACGAGTTATGGATAATTTAGCAACAAAAAGGTTAATTGTGGCCACATCTCGAAAGTCGGTGTCGCTGCCGTTCTTTCGAGATACGTATCGACGAATGTCAACCAGTGGACTGCGTTCTTCCGCGTCGCTCATGACGAACGGGGTGAACAATTCGCGAGGCATGCGCGCGCGAAATGGAATCCCGTTCATGTTAATCACCGTGTCGCAAGCAATTACGAATGTGATCATGGGTGAACTTGACTCGTTGGTAAAAAATCGCGGTGTTGGAATAGCTTCGAGCTACCTTCGAACGATATCGATCGAGTGATGCAAGTAAACGACCCGTCCGACACGCAACGTAGGCGATCCACCTTATAAATCTCGATCATGTCCGCGAGATTCCTGTAAAAGTCACCGTGAACTTCCACAAATTTGCATTTCATTTCACTGATTTTCTAAGTTACGAATCGATTCGATATGTAAATGCATTCGAGCTATTAATATTTTCAAGACTGCGTACGATCAATAGGGAAGTAGTGATCGATAGTTGGGTGATGTAATAGGTTCTGAATCTCGCGTAGAAGTGTAATCGTTGTGGAATCTTGTGTTCGAGAAAAAAGCTGTTATGAATATTACATGTGTTTGTATAGTAGAACCCTTATATAGTTTCGTGTACTGTTTGTATTGTGTTATGATTATTTAATGTGGATTGTAATAAAGTGTTTATAGAAAAATGCAGAAACAGTTGTTTTATTTAAGGGGTCATGCTCAGTCAGAAATTAAAAAAAAATCGATTTTTCACTTTCTACATTTTCTTTAAGTACAACATCTCGAAAATATTTTGTGGTAGTTTCAAGGTAATCCAATTAAAAATGACAGAGTTACAGGCGTTAAAAAATGAACATTTAAATAAGTGTAAGCTTGACTTGAAACTTTAAACGCGTTTTTCTCGAAACTACATTTTTCAAATCGGTGATCAATATTTCTCGAAAACTACTATGTCGCTTTACATGAAGCCTTTTGCGCCTTATTTCAAATCAGAAAAACTTGTTCTTGAACGAAGGATTCTTTTGTTCGTTCCATACTTTTTTTTTAATTGATCAAAAACGAGTGATGTTTTAGGTGAAAATCGCACTTCTTCAGGAAAACGTCTGCTATTTTGTTCCTAATCAATATTTCGAAAAACCGCACGTTCAAGGACAAGATTGGTTCTTCCATTGCATAAATCTTACTGAATTTTTAATTTCAGATGAACCGTTACGAAGTTCCAGTGATCACGGCAGACCACTTTTTGTGAAGATACAACCGGGAGATCGCTCACCGTTTATTTACTAATAAATATTTTTAAATAAAAAAATTATTTTATAATCTAGAAACTGTAATCTTTGAAACACAAATATATTTTTTAAAAAGGGTCTTATAGATTTCGAGAAAAAAATTCCTAAAGAACACTCTCTTTTCGGCCTCCTGACTGAGCATGACCCTTTCAGGGAATATAGA